CACTGAATTTATATTGTTCAGTGTGACTACAAAAGGTAGTTTATCATTGTTTAGTTTTTTTGCTTATTTAACTTGTTTCCATCAATTCCAACATGGGCTGGTACCCATTGCATGATGCGTTTCTTATTTAACCTGAGAATTTTTTGCAGAACACTGTGTATGCTCAGAACAAGCACTGAGTTTCCTTTTTGAGTTACTTGAAGGGCAGCTGTGGAGTCGCTGAATACCAATTCTTAAATAATAAACGCATACTGATTTGGAATGGAAAATTTCAAAATGGTTGAATTTATAGCTTTTGCATAGTAAGATTTTGTTTAGATATTCTTAGATTACAATAAATAAATAAATAAAATAAACTACCATAAAATTTGGCGTATAACGTGCCCCTATACTTTCAAACTGTAATTTTTAATTTTTAGGCATATTCGTCGATTGACGTGCACCCCGTTTTTTACGAAGAAACCTGAAATGTACGTGCGCCATTCTCTGGTGTTTTAAAGTCATGTATTTGAGGTATTATTCCAAGCTTTAGGAAAAAAATAGCGTACTTCTTGAACTACAGCTCTTTAAGTTCACAAGGAATGGCATTTCTTTTAAATAAATAGTATTTCGATTCATGTAGAAGTCTATTTTTTTCTATGGGCATCTTTTTTTAATTTATTTATTTTTAAAGCTCTAATTTTTATACCCGGCGTACAACACGCACCCATAAATTTCGGGAGGGGTTGTTGTTGTTGTTCTTAAAAATGCGCTTTATACGCCATATTTTTCGGTAATTAAATAAGAATAAATTTTTTCTAATTAAAAAATTGTAAAAGTGAATGGGAAGTAGTAATTTAAACAGATTGAGTATTACATTGAAACACAAAATATATATAATAATTAAATTATGACTATATATAATAAAAGTAAAAATAAAACACTACAGGAAACAAGAAAATTTTTAATGGAATAAGTACTATACATCTCATGAAAATTATCTACACAAGGGAAAATACTAAGATTTTATGGCTTTATCACTCCAATAATTTTTAACATTTCTTCTTTTAACATTCTCTTTTGATCTTAAATTTTCAGTAATTAATGCTACTGAGCTTAATAACTGTAACGTTGTTAAGAAAAAGCCAGGATTTATAAATTCAAAGCCTGTATCAATGAACCTAACACCAGAATGTTAAACACATGCAGTAAGTTTAAAATGCAAATACGTTGCATTGATTCTTAATATGCTTAAACATTTAAAGTATCATCAGAAAAAGATTCCTTTAAATTTACAGTTCCAAGTTCCTTTAACAGTTTTGAATTTCCAAAAGTCCAAGAGTATTCTTGTGAATTTTCCTTTCGATAACGTATATATTGGGTAAAAATATGCATCAGAGGGCTTCAACATTTCTATTTATATACGTTTCTCTTCAATAGGTATTTTTGAAATGGCACATTGGAATGTTTTGGATTCAAAGTCCACCAATTTGAAAAAATGAAATTTTTTGCAACAATTCGTTCAAAAATATTTTCAACGCATATGTACATATAGTGTTTCCATTGAACTTCTTTCTGCATGCTTTTATTTAACTATAAATAGCTAAAAAGTGAGTTATCCCTAATTTTTTTTGTATTTCAATATTCAAATAGTTCTCCTTCTTTAGCTACTATATATATCTGGAGTTAAGATTCACAACTTTTTTTTTATTCTCTTCGGGAAATATGACGAATGAAATATTTTCATTTCGAATATGGTATAACATTCCTTGAGTTATTGTGTTGGCAATTTTGATCAGTATCTGGGAAGAATACATAGATATGCTTCCAATTTATAGAAATAGAAACGCATGAAATAAATAAATATGTATATATACAAATTTTGGCAATATATTTAGATATTGTTAACCCTTCCGAAATACAAATATAACATTTTCAGGTATAAGAAGTAAAGTTAAGAAGAAAATATCTTCTTTCTCGTTATAGGAATTATTCTTAATACTATTTGTTAGTAATATACATAATACATTATAATTTTAAACAATCTATTTTTTATTCTAGTTGACAACATTTATTCAAACACGTTATTTTACGCTGATAAATTTATAAAAAAAAATCTTCGAATTCAAATAATTTACACACAGCTTGAAACAATAAAGTGAAAATAATATTTCAAATTTTAACGTTTGTTTCCTAGATGGGTTCAATACATATATTCTACAATTACTCATAAAATTTCAAATAAAATACTTCTTTTCGAATATTTTCGATGATAAACAAAATAAACTTCTAACCTGTTTGCTCAAAATAATCTGTAACATTATTTAAATTCCTTTTATCGCTCTGAACTATGGATAAAAGTTACAGTTTCGTTCTAAAAACTTATTTGACTTAGCTATATTCATCATGGAGTAGAATAATTCCTTTATTTTTGATTAAATGATTTCATGAACTCTAAATTTGAAACAATAATTTAAAATACAAAGTAAAACTCAACCAAAAAAAAGCAGAATACTCTTTAACAATTAAACAGAAAATGGCAAGAACTTATAACTAACTAATTCACAAAAACAGATACTATTTGAATTTCAAAAACGTAATCTTCCAAAGTAAACACGTGGAAAAGTACGGTGACAACATTCTTTTTTGGATGAGATATAATTCAATCAATCGATTTCTGTGTTTCCGGTTGCATGGTAGAAAGCCATTGCATAAACTCTTTTCCAAAAAAAAACCGCATGAAGAAAGTGACAGCTTTTATGATAATTAAGCATGTGTAAAGTTTATACTCAAAGAAGAAATTGATTATACACTCAAAGTCGCAAGATTCTCAAAGGTTGACAACTGCCCATTAAAATCAATAATTGATCACACTCCCACACACTGACGGCGGTGTATGCTTATATACCTCGATCTCTGGAATGTTTATGATTCCTAATCTCACTTTGCGATACATTCAGATCTTAATTAATTTTTGCTCCAGATCTATAACGTTTATGTCATTTTACAAAACATTGCAAAAATGATAATGTGCTGTTACAATAAAAAATACAGTGAAAATCGTTTATAACACGAAACTGTAGTGGACTGAAATATTTTTTCTTGTTAAAGGATGTTGCAAAACAAAACCATTAGTCAACAAAACTATGTTTATTAAAAAAAGTCATTTTATTTACGTAGATATGCATATATGCATGTATTTAATAAAAACTGCACAAACATTTTCAGAATGTGCTCTCTTTTTTTAATTGCTGTTAATAAAGTAGAGTTAGCAACATAAAAATCTTTACAGATTTCCATTTTCATCTTTTATCAACAGACTTAAGAAGCTCCATTTTCATTTTAAGTCAAATAACAGTTTGCTTTCCCTCTGAATTCTTTGCCAATGTGCTCGAAAAACAATTGCTTCTAAAGTAAAAAAAATAATGCTAACCAAACTCATTGGTTTTTACTCACACTGTGATGTACTCGTTACCAACTATATCAAAGACAATTGATGAGAGATGAGACATTTTTGTGTGGGGTTTGTAGGAATGTAAGGTGTAAGTAGCTTAGATAAACAAAATTGGCTCGCGTCACAGGCTATTTCGATGATATTTCAAAGCCAAGTTAACCTCCTTTCTACGAGACAGGTGAAACTCCCTCTCTTTCATTTCACACTCATCTTTAATCTGTCCTACAAGGCTGATGTTTTCCGTATTTTGTTCATTCCCAGAAGGGAAATCTGTTCGTGTTAAGCGATTCGTGGGAGTGGGTGTGTTTAATGAATGCATTGTCTGTCTAGTCGTGACAAGAAATACATACGTATCTTAGACACAAAAAAGGAACAACTACTTAGCCTTTCGTAACAAGTTCAAATCGAGGGAAAAGGACAGAAAAATCCCCACATACTCTCAGATGGGTAAAATAATAGGGGTGTTGTAATTACTTGGTTAAGGGGTGGTCTTAGAAAAAAGCTTGACGCCCCCTTGTGTTATTTTCCCACGCCCATTGAGTGATTATTTTCTTATGAATAGGAAAAAAACCAAACACAGAGTTGAATCCTTGTAACGAGGGAAATAAAATTAGTCTGGTGCTTAGAAAAAGAGCATTCGTGGTTTCGATGCACGGGAAAATATGCAAGATTAGAATTTAAATTAATATTTAGCTAGGTTATTATACAAATATATATAATTTTCGTATCCTGTGATATTTGCAAAAGAGCCAGCCAATATTGGAGAATCAGTTTCTACTTCTATTTCTAAAGCACTTACTTCTATTATAAAAATTGTTTTTTAGTTGAAAATTCTGCATTGTTTTCTTTAAATCTATGAAGAAAAAAACAGAAAAATTACTGAATTGAGGTACTATCATAAAATTTTGCCTTTCGAATAAGTAACTACAAATATATTTCTTACTAATGAAAAAGCAATGAAATTTACAAATTTTGTAACGCATCAAAATGGAACAAAATCGGTACAACAAATGTAACATATTTTACCTTCAGAATATTTAATGTATATTATCTTCATAGTATTTAAGGTATGCTATACCCATTCTAATTAAGGATAAAAAAACACATATTTAAAAAGAAGATTTATTGCAAAATATTATCTTAACATCAATACAAGGAATTTTTTAAAAAAATATCCTCCTTTTTAAACAAAACTCATTAAATCTGCTTCATCAAAAATTAGCAAGATATAAAAACAACTAATAAAATATAATTTTTTTTTAAATATGAAGTAGGAAATATTTTTTCTTTTTTCAATTCATATTATTAGTTCACACTCTTCATATATATATATATATATATATATATATATATATATATCATGATAAAGTTTTCAATCGTTAATACAATACTTTTTATTCATCCACTCAAGTTCAAATACACTTTTTAAACTTGTAGTGGATGACACTTGATGCTAATACAGTTTTTTCAAATACTAATTCATTAATTTAATTAAATTAATGAATAAACAATAACAAACAAAAATAATAGCTCAACACCATATATAGAAAGGAAAATCGCTCATTGTGTCACTGTAGGGCAATGAATAGTGTGTGTGTGTGTGTGCGTTGGACTTCTAATTCAAAGGTCGTGGGCTTCGAATCCTACCTGTGATGGTCTAATTTCTGAGAGTTTGATTTATGAACGAGTCATTAGTAACAAACAAAAATAATAGTAAACTGGTCTTCAAACCTTTTAGAGTCTCAGAACCCTTAGAACTAAAATGTGCTTCCAGGGAACCCAATTCTCTACCCACTTAGAAGAGTGTATCTTACAATACTATTTTGAGCAGATCAATATATGTTATAGATACATATATTGTAAAAAGTATTGTATTTGTTATTAAATAATTTTTAAATGTAACTTTAATATGATTAACACTTATTAATATTATTTATTTGTGATCCAATTTTCACTAGCCCCCCCCCCATACATTACATTTAATACCTGGGATATGTGCCTGTAATTTTTTTACAATTATCGAAGTTAGGTTTATTAAAATAGAGTCGTAGAATCAGGTTCACAGAGTCGTGAATCCCATTTGCATACGCATTTGCATTTTCATTTCGATTTTTAACTGGAACTTGTAGAACCCCTGGGTATGCCGTGGAACACAGTTTGAAGACTGCTGTAATAGTCCAACACCATACATAGAAAGAAAAATCGCTTTCTATTTATCCACTTAATATTGTGATTCTGACATATGTATATACATATTTATATTAATTGTAATTATTTAATAAAAAGTAACTAAAATAAGTTTTTTCTTTGTTGTACGTAGGAATTGACCTTAAAAAATTTGTTATATCACTTGTTCCTTAAAATTTTTGTAGATGATCTCTTTAACGAATTGCACATAAATTGTAAGTAAATAAAACAACTATATATTCTAAAGCCAAACGATATCAAAATTCTCAATTAGTAAACAACCTATAGAACAATTATTTTGCAACAGGAGCGGCATTTTTCGGAGCAAAAAGAAAGTTCTAAAGCTAACACTGTGACGGGGTATCTGGCTTTGTAGATAAATTTTAATTGCCCTTTTTAGCGGCTTTCGGTTGCAGATATTCAAAGATTACAGACATTAAACAGATGAAAATATATAAATTATCATAGATCATGACAATTTTACTGCTTTATCATCCTTCAAAATAGCATGTATAATCATATTTTTCCCCCACCAATCTCTATGATTTGAACGAATTTTCTTTTCAAATTCATATATTCTTATTTCACTTCAATTTACAGAGTAGCATATTTTCCATCTCTATTTTGAAGTATTGAATTTATAGAATATTCATTGCTGATGAATTAATTACGATTTAAAGATACAATTGTTGAGGAATTATTTGCAATGGATAAAATATTAAGTGAAATAAATACCTGTCATTGCAGTTTTAAGCGTATAGCGATTTTTCTTCATAATTTTATATACAGGTAAATTTTAAAGGAAAATTCATTAAAAAATCGAATTCTTAGTATTCACACAAACAAATTTACGTACAAATTTATATTTAAAAATTGTTTATCAAATGTTTATCAGCAGAGGAAAAATAATCGCCATTTTTTTAACGAAAGCTATACAACGTAAAGTTGGATGAAAATTATTCATTGGATTAAAGACACGCAATTATTTTGTTATCCGAAAATATTCTGTAATCGATTAGAAAAATTTAAATTTTGTATATTTTTTTACCGATGCAGAAAATCGCTTTACTTGAAAAAATATTTTATTCTGATTTGTTAAACAAACGAGTTTTATTTGTTAAAACAGATCAAATGCACAAATAATTTATACTTACTAGTCAATGAACTATCAGTCAATTAATAATCAACATAATTAATTTTTTAAGAAAACAAATCGTTCATGTTCAATTAATGAAAATATATCAAGAATTTATAATAGAACAATACAACAACTGAAGATACAATGCAAACACGATTTTTGGAATAACTACATTAAATATTCGAAATTCAGTTAAATATATTGGTAAAAATTAGTCTCGTAAGAAAATGTGGTTTTTAAGTGAAAATAAAATGATTCACCGAGACTAAAGTAGGAGTTTTAAACAATGAAAAATTCACAAAAATGTTTAAATCTAGGTCGGCAACCATGTAGCCGTGGCATGTGAAACCAATCTACCTATTTGTTTCATGGTGCCACACTGTAGGAAATATTTGAAACAGTTCGATAAGGTATGCAGAATTAGGGAATAGACATCTAATATGTGTCTAAAAATATATCTAAATCTAAAAATATATCTAAAACCTAAATATATATAAAGATTTTTTATTATATATTAATTTTCCATCATTTAAATAATTAAAGATGTTTAATAACATAAAAATAAAAACATAATTATTCCTTCATCATAAACAATTAAAGTTGTACATAATCTTAACACATAAATTGTGCACGTATCTTTCAAACATTTTTATTAAAATAATAAATAAACATTTTTAAATATAAGTAATCACCTTCAATAGAGTTAAATAAAAAATACATATTTTAAGGGACCACATTACAAGCACAAACAAAAATCATCGATAATTTAGATCAGCGGTACGCAACCATTTTTCCCGCCGGGCCGCATACATATGGCAAATATTTCATGCGGGTCGTAGCATGAAGATTAATAGAAAAAACACCATAAGACCAGGGCAATATTGGACACTTAAAATGTGGAAAATTGAGCAAATTATTAAAGCTTATTTTTGGCTTTCAATACTATATTAATCTCTATCAAATACACATTAAAAATTTTCTTCGTTTTTATGCATTTTTTACTGAGTTATGGGGTAGTTTCGGTTCCCTTTTTCATTCAGGCCATATAAACAAAACTGCCAAGCCGTTTAATAATTTGATTTTTTTTCTTTTGACAAAGTTTCTCTTCTTTTTATTTCAAACCTTAATTTATCAAATGCAGAATGTCAGCAAAGAGGAGTTTTGACTGAATTCTGTACTGTAATCGGTATTATTTGTTTATAATTAAAAATCAGTTTCACCGATAAAATAGTCACTTCTCCAGTTCATTCCCTATTTCACTGTTATTTGTTATTATTAACCGTTACAGTTTCAAACGGAAAAAAAAATTATCTCGTGATTCACACCCATAAGCAAAATTGGTTGATTTGATTTCTTGATTGAGAAAATTTCCCGATAAATTTTTTATATACATTGTTCTTAAATAATTGATTTTTTAGGGCAACGGGCCATGAGCACGCCACACCTCAGAAAAGTCCAGCTGGCCGCAGTTCGAGTATCGCTGATTCAGATTATCATCGACAACCTATGTTAAACATTTTTCCATGTTCGTCTTCTTATTTCACCACTTCTCGACTTTTCTCTTCTCTCTTCGTTTACAATAAATAGGTGGTACAAGATTCTCGGGCTCGAAAATTTTTTATTACAGCTTTCCTACTCGGATAAAACATTTGCATATTATTAAGTTCCACAGTAAATAGCTCATCAAATTTGGGAAATAACTAATTTAAATTCTCAAAAGTATTACTTTATTTCTAACTTTTCACACTAAAATTAAATAAAATATAAAATGTGGATACATACCACACACACAAGTTCAAAGTATATTCTAAGTATTCTATATATTTTCTAAGTATTGGATTATATATGTATACATATATAATCCAATATAAAAAAATTCAATATATAAAAATATATATATATACACACACACACACACACACATATATATATATATATATATAATTATATATATATATATATATATATATATATATATATATATATATATAAAGGGTGTTTTTTTTTAGAGGTATAGAATTTTAAATTGCAATAAAACAACGATGTATTATTCGATTGACAAGAATTTTTTATTCGAAAGATAATCTTGTGCATTACATTTTAAATATGATTTCTGGCATAGGACTGCCACGGCTGGCTCGGATGTAGTCCAATCTGGACGTCCAATTTTCGATGACTTTTTCCAACATTTGTGGCCGTATATCGGCAATAACACGGCGAATGTTGTCTTCCAAATGGTCAAGTGTTTGTGGCTTACCCGCATAGACCAATGACTTTACATAGCCCCACAATATATAGTCTAGCGGTGTTAAATCACAAGATCTTGGAGGCCAATTCACAAGGCCAAAACGTGAAATTAGGCGGTCACCAAACGTGTCTTTTTAATAAATCGATTGTGGCACGAGCTGTGTGACATGTTGCGCCGTCTTGTTGGAACCACAGCTCCTGGACATCATGATTGTTTAATTGAGGAATGAAAAAGTTAGTAATCATGTCTCTATACCGATCACCATTGACTGTAACGTTGTGGCCTTCATCGTTTTTGAAGAAGTACGGACCAATGATTCCACCAGCCCATAAAGCGCACCAAACAGTCAGTTTTTCTGGATGTAACGGTGTTTCGACATACACTTATGGATTAGCTTCACTCCAAATCCGGCAGTTTTGTTTGTTGACGTAGCCATTCAACCAGAAGTGCGCTTCATCGCTAAACAAAATTCGCTTATGAAAATCGGGAACAACGGCAATCTCGTTTTGGGCCCATTCGACGAATCTACGCCTTGCTTGATGATCGTTTGGCTTCAATTCTTGCACGAGTTGGATTTTGTAAGCACACAAACCAAGATCCTTCCTCAAAATCTTCCATAAAGTGGATGGACACATATCCAATTCCTGTGCTCGATGGCGGATGGACTCATTCGGCTCTTCCTCAATGCTACGCTCTACAGTAGCAATAGCTTCTTCTGTACGCACCGTACGGCGTCTCTGGGGATGCGAGTTATCAATTAGAGTAACGTGGTGTGAAAACGTTCCATGGTTAATCGAATTAACTGCTTTGATGGACGATTTTGTCGACGATAAAACGGACGTAGTGCGCTATACATATTCCGCACAGAACCATTATTTTCGAAATAAAATTGCACAATTTGAAAGCGTTGTTCAGGCGTGAGACTATTCATGATGAATTGCCAAACCAAACTGAGAATAAATCACTTGACAGCTGTTAAATCGGTCGCCATCTTGGAAAGTAATGCCACCTTAAATTTCTATACCTGGAAAAAAAACACTCTTTATAATGACAAACTCCTGGCCTTAGGAACCAGGATTGTA